CTCTAAAGCCATTTATGTTTTCTAGAATTATGCTAAGTAAAGAACAAAGTACACTCTGTTAGTCTCATTTATTACAACCATGTCCATAATTTACAAGCTGATTATGCAAGCCTCATACAAGGGAAATCAGAATAGTTACCCACTGTCAAAGAATGGTAAGCCAGCCTACGTTTTATCACCTGTTTTCTTACACAGCTACCTAAAAAAGGACACGAAGGTCTACAAATGTACTCTAAGCGCTATTAATACCAAGAAGGACTATCTTAAGATAATTGTATTAAAGGCATTAGGGAATAACCACGTGTTCTAAATAAGTAACACTTGAATGTGACACTGAACTAAATATAATGACAAAAATATCAGCATGGAGGCACAATGTGCTTTTGCTACAGCACTGTTTTTAATAAAATCTAAGTAAGTTGTGAGATTTATACAGAAAAATATCAATACTAATATTAATTTTCCTTTCAATGATGCATCCTTTGTTGTTGCTCTTAATTTAAAATGTATGCATTTTAAAGCAAACAGTTTGACAGCTGTTTTCATTTGGGAGCAAAAAAGTAAAAAATGTTCTGTCAATTTGGGGTAATATTAAAATTTCAGAAATTACTTCCATTTTTTCTGGCTCTGTAGAATAACAGACTTGAAGCCTTTGAATAACTCTATTACAGAAACACTGATTATTTCTAGACAAATACACTTCACAGTCCATTTAGTTCTCCAAGATACTTTATTACACAAAAATCACTTCAGAAAAAAATGCTTTCATGGTGATAGCACAGGTGTACTATGCTATACAAAGATATAGTTATCACTAGAAAGAATTCTGATGTCATAAGAAAGACCCATTTGGTGTTAAGTTGCCTAAACATTTTCATTTTAAAATTCCAAAACTTTCTTTAGGTTAAAAAAAAAAAATTTAAGCCTAAAACAAACAAACAAACACGTACTGAGTTCCCAATATGTGCCAACCACTATACATCAAAGTAATCTCCTAATATATACCTAACCCTAATATATACAACCTGGTGTCAAAATGACTATAACACATCTGTTAAAGTATATTGAAACTCTAAAACCCTCAGCAGAACTCCTCTTCCTCAGTCCCCCTCCAAATATACACCTACGGACTTTTATATGTTGCAAGATAAGGCACTAGAGAGCTCTGACCCAGTAATTCATGTCATTCCCATGACCACTCTTGCAGCTGAGATCAGCTGGAATACGATTAAAACAAACAAACACGGTTTCTGCCTTTACTCAGTCCTTTTGTCTTGACCTGTTTGTCTTCTGAACATCAAAAATGATATGCTAAGAAATGAGATTCATTTTAAGTATTTTTCAAGATAAGCATGATGAGATAGATCTTCTCTATATTAGCAAATACTTGTACTCAAAAACATCCCAGAACAGGTTTTAACTCAACTAGTTTATAAAATTCAGCTTAAAAAAAACTAAAATCATTTTCTATTTACTGGAAAATCTCTAAAACTAGACTTTCCTAAACACATAAACTGCTTGAAACACAAGCAGAAACCAATTACACCTATAAATAATACACAAGCAATTTACTATTTTCCTTTGTTGTTGTTGTCTTCCAGAAAAAGTTATGCAGAAATGAGAAACTAAAAAATGTTTTTCTAGTGCGAAATTAACTTTTTCGTTAACATTACTTAAAATGAGTCAAAACATGTTCCTAAAACTTGTAGAATAAAGTATTCCAAAAAGATTAAATTTTATGACTTATCTAAGTTCCTTAGTCTGAGAAAGTAATTTAAATATTTTGTTTCTAAAATTAGAACTAAAAACTGCTTGTTCAGTTTAGTAATCTGAAAAGGAGGTAGATATAGTAAATAAAATTTTAAAGATGGTATTGTTTCATCATAGCCCAGTAATCTGCAACAAAACTCAGTAAGACAACATATATTACTATGTTTTCAAATTTATATGCTAAAAACTAAAAAGTGTAAATAGGGAATCGTTTCTTCAAATAAAATAGCATACCTGAATAAATTCAGATATAAGTGCTGCAAGTAAAATAGTTTAAACCAACTACTTCCCTTAACAGTTCACTTCAAAATGAATAAATACACAAGCAACTATTCTTTTAAGAGTAGTTAAAGGAAACTGAAATATCCATAAAAATCCATAACTATACCCATACTGATTTTCTCCTTCCCCTTTGCTTTAAATTCATGTAGAAGATAAATTACAAAATTAAATTACTCCGTTCTTCATCTGGTCTTGATCATATCCATTTGATCAAAGCCATTTATCTTAACCGAGGCCTTCCACAGAAAATCAGTGGCCAAACCCTAAAGGTATCTCTTTACCTCACTGCAGAATTCCCCCAGGCTCCATGCTTGTCTGTGAGAATGTTGATAATTTTCTGGATTAGTTGAGTTGCTGTGACATGGTCTCGATATTTAGCTGCTCTTATCAAATGATCACACATCTTCTCATCTTCTCGTTTGTCTGCTGAATACTGGGCACACAGAGACTTGGATAGGAAAAAGAAACATCTATTAATATAAAAATATGGGGGAAAACCCCTTTAAATGCATGATGAAATAATCTCTAATATGCACAGAACCAAACAAAAATTTAAAGTGACTTTTACATTGCTCATGAGCTGAACTGACAGAGTTGGTGACCTACTGCCTCAGTACAACAATCCCCCGAGAATTTATTTCTCTGTCATTCAGAAGGTACACTCAGAAGTGGTTACTATCTAAGCAGAGACCTAAAGAAAGAGAAGAAGCCAGTGATGTGCAGATGTGGGGTCCACACTACAAGTAGCATGAAGGGAGGTTGCAAAGAACTAAAGCAAAGTGAACAAAGAGAAGAATGGTATGGAGAGAGACTGGAGAGGGAGGCAGGCAGGGGTTGCATCATTTAGTACTGTGTAGTTATGGTAAGGAGTTTAGATTCCATTCTAACGCAATGGGTTACCCGTAGGTTAATCAGGGGAATGATGTGACTGATTTACATATTAAAATGATCAGCACAGCTCCATTTAGAGACAGAGGAACAAGAGGCTTAAGGAGGGAGATGGGTTATCAGGCTACTGCACAGGTCCAGAAAAGAGAAGCTGGCGGTTTGTACTAGTAAACCAAGCTAGTTCTCAACAGCTTTAGAAAACACCAGCAACAGTGTGGTCTCTCAAACCCTGGCGACGCAAAATGGACCACCAGCACTAGAATAACCTAGGAACTTATTAAAAGTGCAGAATTATAGGTCCCACTCCACACCAACTAAATCAAAACCTGGATTTTAATGAGATCTCAAGGTGATTTCTAAATTAAAGTTTGAACAGTACTTTCTTAGACATCAATTTTGCCAAAACAAATTTAGAATTCTTTAGCAATAATCAGATACAACACAATCACTAGTTTCCAGGATGCTTATTTCTTTGCTTTTGGAATGCAGACATCTGTGGTATCATGTTTAAGATGCTATGCTACCTAATTAATTGCTTAAAATTAAAAAAAATAATGATTAATGTAAACTTGTTACTTAAAAGGTCAGTCCAGCTGGATAGTTCCTTCCTTTCTCTTAGAGTGAGAGAGAGGGAGTGCATGGTTCCAGGAGTACTGAGGGCTCTTTCTGCACCAGAAGAGAAGCAAGCCTGAGGATGAAGACAATACCCACAGGGAGCGGAGGTATGAGGATTACAGAACTAGCCTACTCTGAATGGGATCGTAAACTTGTGGGTCAAGCTAAGATCAGCCTACCTTTAAATTAAACTTTCTGAGAGACCCTTTTTTTCCTTTAAGACTTTTTACAAGAAACTATAAGCTCCTGTTCATTCACTGAAGTCCAATATGAACTAGGTTTTCTGTTCCTAATACCACAAGCAACCCCAATGATATGGTGTTTGTGTAAATGCATAAAGAATCAAATATCTCTTGGTTTGTACAGAACACTAGGCTACTGAGATCAAAGGCTGAATCAGCTTAATAGCCTTTGCCCTGGAGAATCCCCATTCTAGACTATGAGAAGGGAATTGGGAATAAAAGTACAGTCATCTCTTGCTATCTGTGGTGGGGGTGGGGGCGTGGGTGGGGGGGGAAGGGAGCAAGGTTCCAGGACCCCCATGGATACCAAAATTTGCAGATGCAAAATCCCTTTCATACAAATAATATAATATATATGAATATGTTATTATGCATATGAATAAATGTACGACTAGAAAACAAATCAAAAACCAGACTAAAGCATCATCTTTGGCAGTCTTTATCAGTCTTAAGCACTTTACCTTGCTAGGTCTAACTGTCCTCCCATCTGCCAAAATGAGAGGATTATATTACCTCTAAGGATCGTACACTTAAAAGATTTTGGCCAATTTCTAGGAGGTTAGTTTCTGTATATTGTTAAAAGGAAAGTACCTCTTTTACCTAAGCACTGATATGGAAAAAATAAATTATGTTATAAATGAGATTCATTTATATATAAAATACAAGCAAATGCCAGGCTTCCCCAGTGGCTCAAAGATAAAGAGTCCACCTGCAATGCAGGAGACACGGGCTCAATCCCTGGGTCAGGAAAATCTCCTGGAAAAGTGAACGGCAACCCACTCCAGTATTGTTGCCCAGGCAATCCCTCGGACAGAGAAGCCTGGAGGGCTACAGTCCATAGAGTCGCAAAGAGTCGGACATGACTGAAACGACCGAACATGCACTGACTGAAACGACCGAACATGCACACACAGGCAAGTGCCAGACACCACGTTAAAAAATAAAAGCCTGAGCCAAACAAACGCCAAGATAGTTCAGTCTGTCAAAATCATGATTTGAGCAAAGAAAATATGATTAAGAAACACTTGAAGGGAGTAGTTTAAGTGAAGATAACTAGGGAATTATTCCATTGTTAACACAAAGGTTAACTACTATGTGATATTTTCAGAGATTCATCCCAGAACTAGGCAGCACTCTGTAGGTTACTTCACATCAAAGTCAACCACATGCTAAAACCAAAAGGACAAAACAGCAGACACTGTGAGAATGTGTATAGCTTAAACATCCCCCAATGGACGCACAGTATGCCTTTATCTAACCTCACCTGATAATAAGAGGGAATTAAGATTATTGATGGAAATTAAAAAATAATTGGTTTGAATACTCCCCTGAAACACCAGATACCTTCATATTAAATGTACCAAAATTACCAAAAAATACATTATTAAATAGGCTACCTGTATGTACTTTATTAATATTAGACTAGTTTAACTTTATCAAATCATATTCTTCAAAACATTTGGTAAGCAACTGAAGTTTGCATAAAAAGGCATAATTCTAAAAAGAAGAGTCCAAGGTAGTAAGTTAAATAGCAAAATGGTTTAAAGTGCTCTTTAATGGATCCTCCTTTATAATATAAACAACAACTTTTCATATCTGACATAAAATCTATAGATATAAATCACATTAAAGGGCTATTCTCTCCTGATTATCAATCTCTGTCTCATTGTGGAACATTAGAGTCACATCTAACCTTAAAACATGATAAAAGGAAACCAAACAAGAATGTTTTGTAACGATATAATGAACTTGCATCTATTCTTAAAAGCATCTTTAAAATGCAATTTTATTCTTATTAAAAAACCAATAACATATTCAACATATGACATATCATTCAAAGTCAAATACAGATGAGGAATATTTGCCTGAAGATCAAACACATGTTACTTATTGAAGGAATATGTGTGTGTGTGTGTGTGTGTGTGTGTGTGTACTTGTGTTTAAGGGTTAAGTGGAGGTATCCCAAAAGACCTTACCAAAATGTACCATCTATCAATAAATTCAAGGGCCAGGTCTAATGTGTGCCTGCTAAATTGCTTCAGTTGTGTTAGACTCTGGACCCTATGGACTGTAGGCCACCCGGCTCGTCTGTCCATGGGATTCTCCAGGCAAGAATACTGTAGTGGGTTGCCATTTCCTTCTCCAGGGGATCTTCCTAGCCCAGGGATTGAACCCAGGCCTCTTGTGTCTCCTGCATTGGCAGAAGGGTTCTTTGCCATGAGCGCCACTTGGGAAGCCCACCAGGTCTAGGACTTTCATTCAGTTTTACTTCACATCAACTTCTCTGTTTTCCTACTTTAAGCAACACATGAACTAAGTAATATAGCATCACAACAATGACCCTCCTGCCCAACCTGAATCTTAAAATTAAAAAAACAGAAAAAAGTATCCTGGGAACTAATTCAAATATATTTGATTTGAATTTGATTATTGCTAAAGAAATCTAAGATTTATTAATATAGAATTAATAAAACATAAGATAAATCTAGTTCTTAAAAAATTCACTTAACTGAAGAGAGGAGCAATTTAGACTGATCAATTATAATCCAAATAACTATTCTGGATCTTAAAATAAAGAAGTAAAGACAATATCACATTTAGCCTTTCCTTTCAGATATATGTCTCTAAGTTTACTATCTATCCTTTGTATGAAAGCTCAGAGAGGAATGAACTTAAAATCAAGCACATTTCTCTATTATGCTCCTGCCATCACTCTGATGACCTTTCTGGTGGTCAGACTTCCTCTTCATTATCTCCCAGGATGCTTGCATTTTCTCAAAGCTTTGTCATATGTCCCTTGGCAATATCATCCACTCCCATCATCATCTGCTATTATCAATTTAGATGTAGCTTCAAGTTTTTCATGTTTGACTCAGCTGTTTCCCAAATCCAGATCCCACATTTCTATCTGTAGGACAGTCTCCAATCATTCAATAAGTACCTAAAATTTAAAACATACAACCCACCATCTTTATCCCAAACATGCTATTACACTGAAAAGGGAAAGGTTTTCTATTTCTGTCATCTGTGACTTTTCAATTTCCCTCACATCATATCCCATCATTCCCAGCAAAACCTCTAACCACTCGTCACAGCCCTAATGTAGATCTTTATTTGCTCACATCTCAGCTCTTGAAATAATCTTCTGTCCTTTTATGAGAAGTCCCAGAATTATTTCTAGAAAAATTTGCTTTGGAATAACATAGATATATGTACAGATCCCATCCTCAAAAAATGCATAATTGTTTAAGTTATTGAAAACTTAGAACCAAATTTTACTGCCTAGATCTGTGTATGTGCAGCCAGCTCTACAGTGGAGCATCACCTTTTACATCACCACCCATCCACAGTCCGTGTGCCAGACACACTAGACTACACACCACTGCCCAAACGGCGTGCAGACACGTTCAAGGGCTGGAAAATGCACTTCTCCTAGAGCTGTTGTATGTGAAACAAGTTTAAAGATGTCTACTGAGAACGTTAAGAGGGAAAATTTGAAAGACAAACTACTAGAGAAGAGGAACTCATGCAGAGGAAAATATATGGAAATCTAGAAGTCCTTTTGATTCTTTACCTGAATATAAAAGGTGGAAAAAAACTCAAAAAATCCAAAATAATTGGAAATTAAACAACATCTCCAAATAAAAAATATGGATCAAAAATGAAATCACAAAGAAAATTAGAAAAAACTGTGGGAACTGGA